TCTGTCTGTCTGTCTGTCTGTCTGTCTGTCTGTCTGTCTGTCTCTCTCTCTATCACTTTCTGTCTTTCCAAATCATGTCTTTTTTTCTCTCTCTCTCTCTCTCTCAACTTCCACCTCCCCCCTCTCTCTCTCCCGCTCCAGTCCCCATCCACCCTCACCCACCACTCCCACCCACCATTACCCAGCCAACTATTAACTATCTACCAACAGGACTCTCAGACACCCATCAACTCGGCTACAGTCACCAATAACCCCCACCCTGCCTACCCTCCCACTTACAACACCCATTCTCACAAACACACATCAACACTTCATCTCCTCACTTTGTTCGTAGACGTTCCTCTAACGCAACAACAGGACATGCATACACAGTGTGGAATCTCCGCATAAGCCATTAATTGCAATTCAGCAGGCTGCAGGGGAAGCAGTGGACACGCAATTTCCATCACTTTCAGCCGTTATCAACTAAATAGCTAAGTTGTAGCGGCTGAGGTAAGGGAGAATAGAATGCCCAGCGGAGAACATTGGCTTGACATTTCCTGAGTGGGGCCTAGCTATACAATAGATTCACCTTCTCATTTTCCTATTATTTACTCTACATATTTTCTGTCTTTTTGTACTGGTGTCTGTCTGGCGTAACAGTTTAAGCGCTTCTCTGTCGCGTCCAGAAGACTCGAGTGTGATTATCGTAGGAGGAGAATTTGTATCGGGTATATTCAAGATATCTTGGTCTTTTAGCAGGGACGTCAAATCGTTCTTATCACGGGTTGGCGCTGACAGGCAGGGTCGAAGCCTGCCTCCTATATAACATAACTATGCTGGCGGAGATATAAAAACAACTACAGTAAAAATAAAATTTGATTTTAAAAGCTAATTTCCCCCCATTTTTTAATAGCATTAAATGAATCTAAGAACAGTGTTTCGTTCTCGAGGTAAGGTAAGTATTACTGAGTTCATTTCCCCCGAACCCTTCTCCCTCTACATCCGTTTTTCTGTTTTTATATTCTCCAGGATCCTATTTTCTTTCTCTCTCTCCTCGATCTTCCTTGCTCAATGTCTCTCCCCCACCCCCCCCTTCTGAAAAATAATAATAGTCAAATTTAATTTTAAAAAGAAACAACCCCTTCCCTATCCATTCTAATGGATTGTCGCCGATCACAAGCACGCTCTTCTAATCTACCCCTCCTCTTCCTACTCCTTTCCCATCACCCTTCCTGTCCACCATCCCCAACTCACCCAACCCCACCCCCCCCCTTCCGTCACTCGACCGTGTAAACACCCTGGTCTCCTATTTCAAAAACACCCTACGTGAGATATAAACCAGGTCTATTCCCACCGTAGTCCAGTACGATACCAACAGTTACCACGCAGCTCGTCCAAATGTTAAATATCACGCATTGGAGGTAGAAAAAGCCTCGGGTGAA